ACACTAGTGACTGATCTCTTTGGGCTTATGGGCCCAGAATTGGACGAAAGAGAGTGGGAAACTTGGACGAGTTTGCTTTGCAACCGGACGACAACTCGACCCGAGCTCCAAAGCCGATCAACCCGCATTCCAGACCGAAAACCTGAGTCTTTCCATCTCAAGAACTCTTGTTTTTTGATCCAGGGCCAGCCCTTGTTCAGCAAATGCTCCAAGTACTATTGCCATATATATATATATTAATATATATATATTGCCATCTATTGCCCAGCCAATTCGGACGATATGTGACCGGAAATTGCAGGGGAGCAACTCTGATAATTTCGGAAGGTCCTATGTAATGGATGCATTGGGGCCTGAACATTTTACCGGGTGTTATAAACAAATATGTCACGCTGATTCTACTGCCAAACATGTTGGATCTATCATGGTCTATCCTAAACCTATCAGAAACTGCTGAATCATGATGTTGTGGTCAGGCTCACTGTTTGACTATACCTTCCACTGAGCTGGAAGAAGGATGATGACAAAGGCATCTACTTGACTATGTTTGCGATCCTTCTCAACGAATTTTACCAGGACCGGGTTGCAAAATATAGACCTTATTGAACCTTTTTGAGAACAACATCTGGCCTGGCGCATGTCCTAAGATTTGGTCACCAGACTCGCAAGCGAATAGTCGTATTCAATGTGCCGTGATTGATGGACCATAACTTGTACTGCATGATGCTCATGCAAGAAAAACAAACTTATCAGCAAATTGTGTACACTACAAGAACTCATTGTTCCCTCATTTCTGAAGTGACAGTGGTTGGCAGCACCTCAAAAGCAAAAACACCCTGTCCAGCACCCTGTCCACTGAGGCTTCAGACAGGACTCGCCTTGGTGAGACAGAGGGAAAGGTTTGGGAGTTCGCTGTGCTTTCTCCGAAAGCAAAGCCGACATTCACGTTGCAAGCAATCTTAGCATACACATTTCCCTACATTCTTTCACCCCAATACGATGTGGCATCTAAGTTCACTCCAACCTTCATCTCGAAGCTCCATCCCTAAATGGATGCTAAATATATACACCATCCTGAAGTGGAACAGCATGATATATGATAGAAATTCTTCGTTCAATCTACCTTGAACCCATCCGACTCCAAATGTCAACTCTAATGAAGTAATTACTCTAATTACTCAACTCACTTCACTCAGCTTCTTCGCCCAGGCCGAGACACATATTTCTTGACCTCCGTCGGCTGCGGCTCTGGCGCCGTTGCTTTTTGCGCCTCCTGGCGTCGATGCGTTCGCAAAAGGCATCGCGGAACACGGGTGGAACCCGTCCCGGACAAAGGCATTGCTACGAACGGCAGCAACGGACGCTACTAGGGGCTCCCGGCCGTAATACCATAGGAGCAAAGAGCATCGCTACTAGGAGCAATGAGCATCGCTACGAACGGAGCAATGTTCGCTACTAGCTACTGGGGGCAAGGGATGTTTTTTTGGTTTTAAGCAACTCTTCGTGACCGAAGGTCCGATCTCAAGGACTGTCACTCTGAAGGTCCTGGAACTTAATTGATGACCTTGTCACTCTGGTGCATTGGAAGTCTGTCGAAATCCTTTTCGATCGTTTTATGCTCTAGAAGAAGTGTGTCATTCCATCAAATATCCACCTCATCTCTTCTCGTCGCAGAAACTGGTTTGATCAGACAGTTGGTAGGACCCGACCCGAAGATGCTTTCTTGGACTTTTGAGACTCGTTGGAAATCTATTCTTCTCCCTATCGCTACTAGTAGCAAGGACGTTACTAGTAGCTCCTGGCATTACTACTAGTAGCAAGAAGCTACTAGTAACAAGGCATCTTACTACTAACTATATAGTAACAAGAAGCTTCTAGTAGCTCCTGAGTTACTGAGTTGTGTCTGTTTTGGTTGCTTGTGGGGAGTACAGCCTTGCACTACGCGCACACACACACACACACTCAAGCACGACAACAGCCACGCAGGGATCCTATTTCTGCAAAGGGCGCCCACGTGAACCTTCGCGCAAATACTGGTGGCTACGCGAGCGCCTGTGCACCAGAACGGACATCCAACATCCAAACAAATTAAGCTGCCTGCATGTTGGCTAAATCAGCTTTCCATGCTTCCTGTGCATTCAACAGACTGGTTGCAATACTTTGACACTTTTCTTGGAGCCCATTCTGTGGGAAATGGACAACTCATTGATTGTGCTTGGAGGGCCTGCCTGGTATCTTATCAATTGTTTCCGCAATCAACACCCACAAGTTCATAATTTCTTTGAAGCCTTTCAATTCCCATTACTGCATTCATTGGCGTTGATTTGGATTTCATAGAACCGATGCTGAAAAATGAACCTTAGAAGTGCAACCACTTCTGCCTTCGCAAGCAAACATGGAGGTGCACTCTCATCTAAATTCCATTATAAATGCTTTTCTTGATGCCCACATAAATCAGGCAGGACGACTGTTCCATTGGAATCAAACCCCCGGTGCACTTCCTATGTATCCAACAAGGCATGGAACCGAAACGTTCCAAGCCGAACAAAACGACGGCTGGCAACGGAAGAACATGTGGGGACGAAACGATGGCCGCTCGGAAGGTCTTTTTTCAGGACGAATCCAACAGACTGGCAATCAAAAAACGGACTGACTTTGTTTGACTTAGTTCTGCATGGAGTCCATTCTATTGTCCATTGGCGAAGTGTCTGAAATCTCGGGCTCAACCGAGCTCGATGTTTGTGTTTGTGTGTTTCCCGCTGCACAACGGCCATGCTCCACAACCCTTGCGCTTCCCCGGGATCGTCAACAATCAAGATTACATATATAGTAGTAATGTTACACAAATGATGTGTATGGTGCTGGTGCTGTGCGCATATATTACAGACATGCTGGACCATTAGGGGGTTGATGAACATCCAATTGCAACTCACTGAATGTATGAGCCAGCCAACCCCATTCCCACGACCAAAGCACAACTCGAGTGATTCTTCCTTTTTCCGCTTAGCCTGGCATACTAAGATAGAATGAACATTGGCTTATAAGACTTAGAAAAAAACGCATCAATCAAAAGTCTAGAAAAAAACAAACAAACAAATGGATGCAATCAACGTGGGGACAAAAAAAGAAGAACCGTACTACTGATGGTACATGTATTGTCTGACCACAGTCCACGCCTGGTCTTTCTTGCTAAGGGCCGAATATCCATTCTTATCCTGGCGAGTCGGAGCGCTGCTCGGTGTGACGAACTCACGGTCTGAGACGGAGACATCACTGGCTGGTACCACTGGTCTTGGTGAATTCCTTCGTTGAGTGGGTTTGGAAAACACATGTTCTTCTGCAATGTTATATGTTATAAGACTTGGTGTGCATACATTCACCAAGGAATCCCTTTGAATCGCCAATTATAAGAAAGCCAACATCATACAAGTATACATTGACATGAACAGAACAACACACATGTATTTAGACATATACGTTCTGGCAAAGTGGGCGACAGTAACAAAGCAAAACACAGTGCAGAAACATAAGACGAGGATGTTCGGACCATGGGGGATCATGCGGTACTCCACTACCTCCAACGAAACCATGCGCAAGCATTCCCCAGAAACCTCCGCTGTTGTGCCCGACGGTCACGGCTGCACGCCTGGCTCATCGCGAGAACACCTCAGTGCTGAAACTCACCAGGTTGGTCATGTATACATTGCATATCATGTGCTATTTATGAGTTGACTCTTATATGGATATATGATATCATGTGACTAATTATATGTACGCATCTTCTCCAGATCAGCGGTGTTTGTCGTTTCAACGGCCATTCAGCGACCCGCCCCACCTGGGTGACGGCCCCGCCCCAGCGGAAGTCTCGTCTCGCGGTCTTGAGCCGAAGGTCCCCAGGTGTTGGCGAACTCTTTTAAGTGGTGTTTCTTGTTAGACAAATTGATTTATATAGAGAGTTTTGTCTCTTTAGACATGATTGATTCTTGACCATTTGAGTGGCTTTGAATTGATTTCAATTTAGGCATTTATTTTTTCCTGCCTTGCTTCCTTCACGTGCAGTTGTTCATTCCTGTCTTCCTTGAAGTGAGAGTTGTGATCACCACGCTCAGGAAGCATGATCCCCAGCCATCAGCGCCCAAACGGCCAAGAAAATGGGGTTCCCTTGAGCAGAAGGGATTGTCAAACTGTCAAACTAGCTCAAAACATGTTCAAACTTTGGTGAGTTGGCCCCAATCAACCATCAACAAGTGAATCACTGAGAATCACTGAGAGCGGACAACAAGTCTAAGCATCCGCGGAAGTAGCTTCAAGTACCGGCTGTGAGTTCTCCGGGCCTGATGAGCATGAGATAACTGAGAACATGTATTTAACTGTTGCGGACATGCCTTTTATCAGCTACTCATGCCAAGAGATGGCAACTCTTCAACCGGAGCAAGAGCCATTTTTCTGAAAAGCCATTTTTCTGTAAAGAAAAACTGTCAGGAGAAATTGCTGCTATGGGTATGAATTCAATGCATGATCGCAAAAAACAACGCCAAATGTTAGCCGTTCGATATGCACATCTGTGATCTGCCATTTCATTTGGGCTAGGCGGCTAGAGATTCTTTACTGCATTCACTCACAGGATCCACATACCCTCTTCTTAAATGTGGCTTGCACATAGTGGCCTGTCTGAAAACAGAACCTCACACATATGGGCGCCTCCGCATCTGCTCTGAACCGACCGAATCCGACAGAACAGAGATACACCACCAAGCACCACCAAATGTTCCAGCCAGACTCTGTCCGCCCAAACATCAGCTTTACCCTTCTCGAAGCGTGCAATTCAAACTCTACTCATACTCTAATGATCTCATCTACATTATGCGATTCAACCTGGACATTCACTTGAACTCGATAAACATGTTGCATAAATAGCAAACAAACACATCCTCATCCTTGTTGTCCAACCCCCCGTAGTTCACTTGGGGCACAGCCCCGCGCACCCCGCTGTCTGGGGCCTTCTTGAGGGTGCCGGTGTTGAACCCGCCAATGGCCTGTGGAGGGCAAACAACACTACAGAACAAGCCCCCGGAACATGGAGAGGTTGTTTAATCTATATGTATAAATGAGCTATGTACTAGTGATACTGATGGCCATGCGGTGGTAGGTAGCACACCTTTTGGGTCAAGGGATAGTGGACACACCAGCGATTGCACATGTTCCTAATTATGACTGAATATCGGAATATTGGTATCACCATGCATGTGTTGTTGGCAAGCGAAGGTGAAGGCTCTTTAAAACAGAACCATCAAATCAATACTAGCTGTCACTCCGCGATCCTTTTTGCCAACGATACTCTTGGATAATTTCTACGAATGCAGCACAAGACTCACACAAACAAAAAGCAATTAAATTTCTTAACCAACATTATCAAATTCACTTCCCCATCGCAAGCCCTAGCATCTCTGCAAAACCTTGCATCAACATGGTTAGAAATTGAACCATCACCTGCGAGGATCATTGGCTGATTGGCTTTCTTTGTGGACACCACGCATTGGACACGTCACCGCTTGAGGACAGCACGTTGAAGACGGCGGACATCCCACCGGCGGCTTTGGGTGCAGCTTTCGGTGCTGTGTCCTCCTCAGGTCTCGTGACTCGTGCTATGCTCGAAAACATACGGAAGGGCTGGCGTCTCGCAGGAAAGCACGTCTTTTGTGTTTTGTCTTGGACTCTGTACTGAGGGCATCCAAAAAACAATACACCTGTGGTTGATCTATGCTGGTTTCTAAAGTGTTGTTTGGGTGGATGCAAGGTCTGCAAGGTGTCCCGCTATTTTCATTCACCTGATCACACTAAACATGGTTTGGTTTGCATCCAGGTCCCCCGTGCATCCGTCGACCATTGGGAGCAACATTAACTCATTGCTTGGGGGTCTCTTGATGTCTCTTGAGTGTTTCCATCTTCATTTCGTCAGAGGGCAGCGGCGCAGGGTGATTCGTTTTTGTATGCCACCGTGATTCCCAATGAAAACAACCAACTGAACACCAACGTCTCTGAGCCACAGGCGCGCAACTTTGCCCTGACCTCGTCCGGCATGCCCATGCCGCCCTGCAAGCGGTATCAAAGGTTGACAACAAATATGAAAGGATATGAAAGACATCCTAGTGCATGGTGACTATTACAGCAAGGCAAGGTAGGGAGTTCATGAGAGTACTACACTGTTTGCAGTGATGGCCTAGAGTTTGCTAGGTACAAAGTTCTCAACACATTTGAGCAGGTACTAGAACTAGAGATTGTCATATTGAAAACAAGGGGTCTGAACATCCTCACATTGCCAAGCCTTCTACATCACCTATAGTACTTGTATATGCTTGTGCTTCACTCATCCCACATGAAGTTCTGCTCGATGAACACTCCAAAAGGGGACCTAAATCTGTATGATGCAGCGATGTTGATCAGTGGCCGTACTACTAGGAACAAGAAGCTACTAGTAACAAAGGGCATCGCTACTAGGAGCAAGGACGCTACTAGGGGCTCCTGGCCGTACTACTAGGAACAAGTGACGGGCAACCGACCATCGGTCCCTGGCACCCAGCGCACACAGTATTCTTCGATGTCAGGCGCAACATGTTTCTTTCGACTTTACTAATTCTTGTTTCTACTAGCAAACATTGTTACTACTAGTAAGGCACTTGTTACTAGAAGCGATGCACTTGTTCCTAGTAGCTTATTGTTTCTAATTGCTAATTCTTGTTTCTACTAGCTTCTTGTTACTAGTAGTAAGGCCCTTGCTCCTAGTAGCGATGCCAGGAGCCCCTAGCGTCCTATAGTAGCTCTATATAGAGCCTGATAAAGCCTGTTGCGCCTTGCGTCTCGCTGAACAAAAAGCTAGCACAGAAAGATGCAGAAAGTTCGCGAGAGAAAACAAGACTAAATAGGATGCAAAAGTTACAATCATAAACGCCAAAGTAATGAAACATCTACACAATCTACACAAAACGTTACCTATTTTAGCTTTGAGGCTCTGCTACTAGTAGCAAGTGCATCGCTACTAGTAACAAGTGCCTTCCTAGTAGTAACAAGAAGCTAGTAGAAACAAGTGCATCGCCACTAGTAGCTTGCGGTTCATTGCACGTCACTGCAGAGTTCTGACCGTGCTGGCAGCTGACCGTGCCTTGGGCGGTGGCGGGCCTTTGCCCTTGCCTTTGGCCTTTGGAGCGCCTGGGACGATGAGCGAAGGGACGACTGAACCGATCTCCCAACTGTACTGAGAAAGCGCCTCAGTACAGTGGAACCTGTGAAAGAGAAAGGCCTCAATGTCTGTAAAATGACACACGGATGTTGGTGAACACGATACATTTGCGTCGTGAAGGCTTTGAGGTCAAGAATCAAGGAAGCAATCCCTACCTAGGAGTCTAGCCTGCTCGAGGTTCATCAAAGACAACTGCATGAATCTTGTAGGTTGGAGGCCATCGCTCTTAGGTTGGACACCATCGCTAGTCGCCCATTGCTACACCTTGAAGGCAGAGTATGCATAGATTCTGCTAGTGATTGCTGAGCCATTCATGGTGCCTTCACGGTGAGTTCTTCTTGCACAAGTCAGCCATGAACAGTCCAAACTTGCAATCGATAGGATCTATAGGGCCGGGAATACGATGGCATAGTCAAATCTGCACTTCATCCGTACTTTGGAAATCGCAGCCTGCAGCACCTACCCTGTTCCCAAAAGCGAGCAATCGCTTTAAACGCCTCCTGAAGTCGGCGTGGCACCCGCCGTGCCCAGGGGTTTCTCTGAGAAGTAGTCCATCGCAGCCTGCGGAGAAAAAGGATCTTCCAAAGCAGTCTTGGGTTACAAAGCATCAAGAGGAGATCGAGAGACTCTTGATCAATCGGAACTCGAAGAGGCGATCGGAACGCGCCAGTTCGTCCGATCGGAACGCGCCACGGCGGAGGCCTTGCCATTGACGTTCCACACTAGACCCATCTTGCAGTTTTCGGTGCACCAGTCTTTGAGCTCCTGAAGTGGGGAGCGACTTGGGTCATCACTGAACTTGCTTCACTCGTTTCGTTTTAACCTTCTTGTGAGAACAAAGTGAACAAAGGAGACCATCGAGCAAGGATGTGTCTGCCACTTGCTAAGACTTAGCATGGGTAGCCAAGAACTACTGATCATGAAGTAGGATGTGCTAGTTCGTCTCATGTAACTATAGCCACTGGAAATCAGCCCCAGGCCGTATATCAGCAGATTGCACACCACCCATTGTCCACAACCCGTCCTTCAAAGACTCCTTGAAAGCTCTCACCCATGCGGTCTCCTTTCGACAAACTTCGAAGAACACACTGCACTACACAATAGCAATGGCCTCCAACCTACTTGCGATGGCCTCCAACCGACTAACCACCGACATACTGTACAAGTTCCAACCAAACCGCCAAAACCCGAGAAATGCACCGAAGAACCTCTTGATGCGTTTGGCCAAATCCTAGGACCCGTTGTGCGTCATGTGATTGTATTCTCATAGTGCGATCGATTCTTTCGGAGTAGACCAAGGAAACATCCAGAAACAACAGGAGACTACATTGGACATGACATACTGTAACTTCCAAAATGGTGCAGCACGGTGCAGCCATGTTCCCAAAAGGTAGTCCACCAAAGCCGGCCCTGGAACCACCGCGCCTTTTCCACTTTCTTTCCCAAGACCTGCAAAAGCAAGGCCCCACAGGGCCCCACAGGGCCCTCGAAAGCGTGGGGCGAGGAAGGCTCATTGGTATCTCTTTGCCAGGTGTGGTCACCGGTTGAGAAGCGCAGGAGCTTTGTGTTTTTCCAAGGAGGTAGGAGCTACAGTAGCATCTGCTTGGCTGGGGATTCTGCGGGCCCAGTGATACTGCCGACAGATGCATTTCTGCCACGGGTAAAGCTCGAATTGGAACTGCCGCAGTGACCGAGAAGGAAAGAAGCGAAAGTGTGTGAGCATGCTAGCTTGTGACAATTTGGTGCAGCGTAAACATCTTCAAACCCCATCGATTCTCTGAGAGTCTGCGTCCTTGCTCCTAGTAGCGATGCCCCTTGCTCCTAGTAGCGCCCTTGCTCCTAGTAGAAATGCCCTTTGTTACTAGTAGCTTCTCTGACTCTGTCTGCGTTTTGCCAAGATGTTCTAGAAAGTTCCGACATTTTATATAGTTGCCAAAATAGGTTCCTTTCAAGCTCTATTGAAGAAACACCGCTGAAGCAATATTGTCAGTGGATCTAGCAAAAATGCTAACGACTCGATTCTACTATGTTTCACTGCTCGTTCTTCTGAAGGTAGTGACATGTAGTGACTAACAATGCAAACCACCACTTTTAACCGACAGTTTTGGAGGCGAGACATCAAAACACAAACACCTGCAAAGAAACCGACTGTTCTTCAGGAACTCCAGTGCAACTGTATTGCTGTCTGGGGAGGATTCATTCTTTTAAGACACAAATACGCCGAGGCATTTTACTGAATCAAAGGTGCCTTGTTTGCGTGGAAATCAAAGGTTTCAAGGACGCTCTGCACCTTGCAGGCCGCGATTGGACAAAAACACATTATATATATAATATAGACCTTATCGATTATCTATAAGTCTGTCTGGTACACCTTATATCTATCAACACCAGCCAAATATTGTGCACCTTAAAGACTTATTTGCGAAGGTGTGAACGTCTGGCAAAAGGCTGAACTCCCATAGATTCCTCATTGGCATCATTATATAGTCTCTGTAGCTACTCTCGTTCATGCTGCATGCTCTTTCTAGTGGGTCTAGACCCCTAGCACCATGGGGTTTGCCTGCTCCTTGCTTTCGCCCAATGTATAGACCTGAACATTGAGGTTACAACATGGAACCAGATGAAAGAGCCTGACCCTCCCCACCGAACCAGTGGATTGATGTGGAGTGTATATTTCGTCACAAGTGGCTTGCGGGCGGCCTAACGCCCAATTCGACGTGGTAGTTTGACCTCCCTGGGGGCGGAAATAACCAACCAAGTTGCTTGAGGGCACCGTTCAGGGCCAGAACTGACAAACATGATGATGATGATGATGATGATGATGATGATGATGATGATGATGATGATGATGATGATGATG